TTAGGGTTGAGGGTTTAGGGTTGAGGCTTCTGGATTTAGTTTACAGGGTCCATGTAGGGCCTGCTAACAGGCCAAAGTTTATACTGTTTGGACACGTATGGTGTTTGGAGGTTTGTGGGGTGAAGGGTTAAGGGCGTTTAGGATTGCGTTGTTTTGTTTCAAGTGGTGTAGGGCTTTTGGGAAGTTTGGTTGAACTGTTTTGTGGTGTGTCTTGAGTCAAAAAGGTTTTCTGAGAGTTGGGGGCGCATTAATTAAGCGCTCGTTTTGGGCTTGGGTTCGGGTTCATGGTTAGTTTTGTGTCTTTTAATGAGGTGCTCAAGCCTGTCATTGCTTTCAGGGTTGAGTTTAGGTATTGGATTTAATTGATTTAATGTGAGGTTTCGCAGAACGAGGCAAACCTAAACCTATAACCCGGAACTCTAAAGCCCCAACCTACAAGTCATAAATCCAGCATTGGGGTTGGGGTTTGGAGATAGAATGCTTACATAGCCCTTGTGAGACCACTGGCTGTTAATTATCACGCCCACAGCACCTTGTAAAGCCCGGGTTACAAAACTTTGCAGAACCTTCATGAAACCGTTGAAGACCCGATAGAAAGCCTCCAAAGCCTTTCAAATCCCCTAAAACCACCAGGCGACCCTAACGCACCCCCCCCCCCAAAAAAAAAAAAAAAAAAAATGCCTGAACGTTTAACTCAAAGCACTCAAAACCTGATACCCTGAATCGTAAGGATCCAAGTGCCTATAGTTACGGCATCCGGTTTAGGGTTTAACCGGAGGATGGAAGCTGACAAATTCAGACTTTTATAGCAGTATCCTATATAGGACGAACGCAGAAAGGAAGCCCTTGCAGAAACCGTTCGGGCACAAAAACCTCCAAGGACCCTCAAACCCTAAACCCTATGAACCTTAAACCCTATTCCCAACGACCCTAAATCCAATACACCCCACACGGTAACTTCAAAAGGCATTACGGCAGCGGCAACGGCGGCTTCTGCGAAGGGGCAGCCGGCAGCCTAGTTGGTAGTCCTCTAAATGAGGGTCCCCTACAGGGCCTTGTTGTAAGGATGCCGTACTATTGTCTTTAGGGGTTAGTGTTTAACTAGGGTTGAGTAGTTTTATGGTACATTCCTTGACGCAGTAGGTTGTTGGATCCACAGGTAGACCCTACTGTAGAATCGGAATGAATACTTCTACCATTTCCTGGGGTTCTTCAACATATCACTATATGTATAGTAAGCAATGCTGGTCCCCATAGCCCGAGTGCGAGTTCCGCGTATGAATCCGGTAGCAAACTCCAGTCATCTTGAGGAGCATGCATAACCCCCTAACCCATATCTCGCAACTTAAACCAAAACTCCCACCCCATACACCCCCAACCCTGAACCCTGCCTTTGCGAAGTCTAGACACATATTATATATATATGTATATATATATATATGTCACATATATCAACTCATTAACCGCAGGTCCACGATCTTGCGCCCTGTCACGAACACGGTACCGACTGCGGTGGTGCAGCGCCAGTCGTGCCCGTGGCAGCAGAAAGTAAGGCTGACGGGACTGCATAAGTCGGATATTTTTGATGTGTTAAGTGGGGCTTCCCTCATGATCAACTTGCCTAAAACCCTATCACCTGCTTACTAAGTCCCTTCAGAGTCACTCGGCACGTTTAGTTCGAGCTTTCGGAGTCAATGAGCTTTCAGAGCTGGGCTTTGCAGAGCAGAGTGTAAAAGCTGACAGCTGCAAACAGTCTTTCAGAATGTCTCTACAAGCTGCAACAACTGTGCTCTCAGAGCTTGCATTGCAGTGGGTTTTGCAGAGGCTTCTCAAATGGCTTCAATGGAAGTTTTGAGTCTTTCGGCGTAATGCGGGCTTTTTACGGACTTATCTTATTACGCACCACCACCCTCCTTGTCGTAACTGCTGTTTCAAGGAGGATTTGCTTAGCTCCATTGGCTTTAGGTTTTGGGGTTTTGCTGCCTAGGACTGCATCCTCAACGCCTGGACAGACTGGACCACTTGCGACGCGGAGCTCGGGGGGAAGGGAAGCTAGAGGAATGGAACAACCTGCGACCCTGAAGCACGGGTTTAGGGTTTAGAGCTTGGGATTCTTGTATTTCCGGTGTCATATAAAACAACCTCAAACCCCAAATCGTGTTATCGGAATTTCAGTTTTCGGGCTTTGTGGTGATTGGGAAGTGTGAGGGAGTGCAGTAAACTGCCTGGAGGACCACCAAACACCGAGATGCATGGAGGCTTCAGATGTTCAGGGTTTTACATGGGTGGTTGTCAATAGGGTCCCTTTTTGGGTCCCTATTATAATACGGCACCTATGATTTCAGGTACCCGAAAGGTGCCCTAATTTTGACAACTACCCATATGAGGAAAGAGGTAACAGTATGGGGTTTAGGGTTCAGGGATTTTTCCCATTGAGGAAGGATACTCCTATTAATCAACCGAAGACGGAGCGCCTCACAATCTACCAGGGGTGTTGGGCTCTGAGTCAACCTACAAGCGCTAAGAGCCCGAAAGCTCCAGGAGTGCCCCTAAACCCAAAACTCTAAACTCAAACCCTTACGCTCTAAACCCTAAACCCTAAACCGTGAGGAGTGCGGCCGTGGGGAGAAGGAGAGAACGAGAACGGTCGCGCAGGAGCCGGCGAACGGCGGCAAGGCAGGATCCTCTTCCGTACTTAAAGGATCATGGGACTTAGTAAGTACGGTTATATATATATATATATATATATATATATATACATACGGTTATATATATATATATATATATATACATACGGTTACAAATATATATATATATATATATGACTGTAACTGTGCTCTAACCCCTCTTAAGGTACTTGTAACCATACTTAATTATTGCTAAGAGACATGAGCCAGCGGCCTATGTCTGAAAAGGCATCAGGAACCCTTGAAAAGACTCTGTTGCAACCGGTGCTGCATACGAGTATCAGGAATCAGGAAATTACCCAGGTCAAACAAGTTTACGGTTTTAGGGTTTAGGGTGACCCAGCCCCACCCTTACAGCCTCAACCCATACCACCGAGCCCGGGGCGAACCCAAAACCCACGACGCCCACCGAAAACCATTGCACCCTCAACCCCAACCCATAACGCCCGTCTAAAACCTTACGCGTGCAGCACTCTATATCAAACCCTGAGAGCCTCAGAAAAGGAGAAAACATATACAGAAAGCCCTATAAAACAGAACCCTAAACCCTAAACTCGCTTAGCCCTGTAACTAAAACCCGATTTTTGACCCCAAACTCCCTGAACCCTAGAAAAGAAAGAGCCCCAATAACGACATATAGCCTGCAGCTTCCTTGGCAGGTCTGCGATGGAGGACTCAAAGAGCTCCACACCTGTCAGATCAAGCGTGGAACCCGGGGGGCTGCCTTTGGGCTTTAGGGGCTTATTCAAGGGTTTAACAGGGCTTATAGGGTTTATAGGGTGTTGGGGGTTTAGGAGGTTTATAGGGTGTAGAGGGTCTAGAGCGCCTTTTATAGGGTTTGGGGGAGTTTAGGGTTGAAGGTGCGTGGGTTTAGGGGTTTTGGGTGTGGGGTTTAGGGCTTTTGGGTTTAGGCGTTTTAGGCTTTAGAGGTTTAGACTTTCGAGTCTACGGGGTTCGGGGGTTTAAGGTTTTCAGGGTTTGTGTTTTAGAGTCGTTGGGCTTCCCCTAAGGATCCCAGTGCCCAAGTAGCAGGGCTGCAGGAACCAAATTCCATTCAGAGTAAAAAACAGTATGCTGAGACCTAATCGATGTCTCGTAACAGCAGTTCAGGGCGTCAGGTTCATGTCATATACGAAGGTTACGGGGTCTCTTGGAGTCTTTGTTTGATCGATTTCCCAGGCTTTTTCCATTGGGCGTATATGATCTCATTGAGCTTTTCTTGGTGCCTTGGGGATCAGGGCTCAGGGCAGAGAGCTCCCCATGGGTTTCATTGGAGTTCAGGGATTCAGCCCTTGGGGGTGTATATTGAGTCTCAGGAGTTTCCAGGACCTGGAGGGTTATAGGGCTTCTGATGTGTCTTCAATTCTGGTATGTGTGCATATATATATATATATATATATATATATATATATTTATACATATATATATATAGATACTAATATACATACACATACATATATATATATATATATATATATGTATGTATGTACTAGGAGAGTGCGAATTTATTGAACGCTAGGAGCATTGGTACTGCTGGGATAGTATCAGAATCGACACGACTGTTGGACCCTGCAGTATGCCGTATCCTCGAGTCACTAGCATCCGACTCGGAAACTTAAACCCATTATATCCACAACCCTTTCCTCGACACCCGAAGATCAAGACTCGAACGCCTAGATGCTCAACGGAAGAAAAGGATAGGCTTGAGGCAAAGCTCTGAATCGCGAAATCCCAGACTGTCATTGATATCCAGTTCGGTGTTTCTGCAATCTCCTAAGCCCTTCAGCTGAGGAAGTGCGCCGAGCAGTGTGATGCAGTGGATTGCGTCTGGGGCGACTGGGGCGAGTCTCGGGCTCAGCCTCGAACATTCGCACCATCAGAGAGCTCTCTGATGGTCATACTGCTAGTATGAAATCGGGATGAGGTTACGGTTGTGCCGAGAGTACAAAAAAGCTCACTGGCAAAGTGTTGCTGAGTGTATGGTCGATTTTGAGTTATGGGTTCAGAAGTTCAGAAGTTCCGGGTTCGATGGTTGAGGGTCATGGAGTTAGATGTTGAGAGATTCGGGGGCGGCATGGTATCAGATCCTCATATACTTTGTCTTTTTGTGACATGGTTTGCGCTGGAATTGTAGAAAGTTCGATGCTTCCGAAGTAAGGGCTCTTGTGCCCCCCCTTCGTTTTGGAAGCTTCCATATACACTCCAGGGTTTAGGGTTTGGTTGTTACATTCCAATTCACGAAATTCTGGCTCCAGGCATTTGCCTACTGGCTCTCCTGGCTCTCCTTGAGTTGCAGCTCCCTTCCACCAAGCCATGCCCCGAGTCAGCATCGCGTGTGCCGCGTCCCTGCTCCTCTGTGGTGCCTGCTTCGTCGTGCCCATCAGCCTCAACTCGACGCCTCGGACGAAGTCAGGCGGGGGATTCGGAAGGTAGGCGTGCTGGATTTAGGACTCCCTCATAATGGGGATCCTACATGTAGGGTCTGTATGAGAGCCCCTTGACATGAGGTGTTGTGGTGGAACTTCCCGTTCAAAACCAGACGCCTGAGTCAACCTCCTGGGCCTTCTTGGCTCTTGGCGGAGCCTTGGGGCTCTTGATTGCAGCCGCCGCAGCCCGACCTGCATGTGCTGCAGACCTGGAGAACCGCGAGGCTGTCTTGAATAGCAGTTGTACCGCCTGCCACGCTCAAGGCAGCAACTTTGTGTTGGAGAAGATTAATGGAGATGCCCTGGTAGAGTACCGCAAGCACGACGTCCAGGCCACTATCGCCCGGGTGACCGACGGCAAGAGTGCTTTGCCCTCCGTCGGGCAGAAGTTGCGACTTGACAACTTCGAAGACGTGGCAAGCTACGTCTACGCCAAGGCTGACAAATGGTGAGATGCCAAGCCGTGCGAACTATGTTCGTCATATTCTCCGTAGTTGCTCAGGCTCTCCCGAAAAGGTGTGAGAGATACTCTGTGCTCTAATTCGAAATAAGTTTCTTTACTGCATGGTCCGGATTCCCCGAAGTGGTTCAACCGAGACAATTTTGCGTCCACTCCAAATCTGGTAGACGTGCTGGGAATTGTCGCCATAATCTGTTGTGGATGATCTTTCGCACTTCTCTCTCCCAAAGCGAGTGTGTGCGAAGCATGCCTGACCTATGTCCTCCCGAGCGCGGAATGGAAAAAGGTGCGAGGGACAAACTTCTCCGAAAGACCAGGATATGCCGGATTCATCCAAAGGATTCCCAAATCAGGCTTCTTTTTGCCCCATTTGACCTACTTACACGTCTCATCAGCCTCCAGGTAGTAGACCCAGGCCCGACCCTCTTGGTGACTGTGATCGCCGTCATGGTGTACGATTATCCTTCCAGCTTGGCTGAAGTCCCGAATCGAAGTCACGTGTCATGAATCAACTGGAGCTATACGGGTGACAAGGACGCGTTGAATTAGAGTCGAATGGTTGCTGAGGCTCTTGTTGTTGAAGGCTCTGCGACTGGATAGTGCAGGTATTGGGCTTTGAAGTTAGGTTATATACATCGAGGTTTCGGGCTTAGGGTTTCGGGGTTTGGGGCTGGGCTAGGGACATGCATCATTTGCTGCTTGCAAAGGAGTGAAGACGCCCTTTAGCCACATCCTAAACTGAGCCATCAAGACTTCGTCACACGCTGTTGAACAAAATCAGGCTTTAATCTCCGGGATGGCATGCTTTCCTTGTTGTTGGCCTGTGTCTCGTGTCTGCTTCCTGGGTCCCGATACCCCCCACACACACACACACTAAACTGGAGGTTTCCGAAAATAGGGTACCCTGGACCCAAAAATAAGGTACCCTTGTTTTCGGAAACTCCCAAATGCTAGGCTTGTGCCTGTTCCGCTTGCATTCCCTTGATAGTCTCCAGAGGGTTATCAAAGCCCCGACCCCTATGCTTTCTGCCGACCTCTCACAGACTTTGAGGACTGCCTGTCCTACAAAGCAGCTGGGACCCGCAATCCTAGAAGCCCAGTTACAGTAGGTTACTATTGCTAAATGGCAGCCTAGTGACCCATTGTTGAGGTAACTGGGCTTCAAGGCCAACCAAATGATGCTCTACAAGCGGTTGAGGATTCACGACTCCCTAGTGCTCCGGTTAGCCAAATACCGGGTTACAGCGTCATAAGTACATAGTACATATGGGCATATCAAGGGCTGGGGATGATGAGGGAACCGTTTATTTCCTCAGTTGGGAGACCCGCAGAATGGGACTTTCTGGTGTTTTGTGTTGGGAGCTTCACGACTGAAACTCCTCCATGCTCAGTTGGAGCTACTGCGAGCACTGCACAGCTCAACGGAAGCCGCGTCCTCAGCTTGATGGCTTGGGCCATTGGGGCTTGCAGGGTTTAGGCTTGAGGTTTAAAGTGCAGCAGGGTTTAATAAAAGGGCCTTAACTTAACAATTACCTATACCATTTGGGGGGTTCCTTGTTATAAGGATAGTAAAATATGCCTCAAGGCCCTATTGTAATTATTAAGGCCCCTACATGATGGTTCTCGGTGTGGGGTTGAGGGCTTAGGATCGAGGTTGTGCGTTCAGAGCCTTCGAGAAGAAGTTGTTCGCCCCGGAGATTTTCCTCGTCTTTGCCGGAATTTTCAGATCTCCATGAGACTGTGGGGCTGCCTGACACCGGAGCAGGAAGCTGACATCAGTTTGCTGATGCGACGCTGGCGGCCTATGCGGCTTCAGAGAAATTCCTGGCCATGAGCACGGAGGAGCTGCTGGCGGCGCTCAAGAGCTTTTGGCGGCTCGAGGCTGCGAAGGTGATTGCCCATTACCAGGCGGACATCTACGAATCTCAGGCAATTTGGGCCTAGAACGAGTTCAACTACCAGCTGGTGTGTGTTTTTTTTGGTACACCAACCGCTGAAAGAGCCCAGGCTGTAGAGAATGTGGGCTGTGGGCAATGTTTACAGCATGTTTGGTATGTTGCTTGGGACATGTGTTACAACTCTTGTATTGCAAATAAATGTCGCTGCAATTCTGTATACAGGATGCGTGTTAGAGTTGGTACAATAGAACTTTACACCCCTGGAGTCCCCAGAACGCCGTTGTTCATGGTCCTGGAGCTGTATCTTTCGGACCCCTATCCTAGCCGGGACCCCTAAAATAGCCCTCTGGAGGCGTGTCTTAAACCCCGAAACTCTAACTACGTCCTAGGCCCCCAACCCCTGGCTACACTGGCCCTCTTGTCTAAACCCCAAGTGCTTAAGATCTTAAACAGAACCGTCTACTGAGTCCCAGATCCTTCGTGTGCTTTCCTGCAGTTCCGGCCACCACCCTAAACCCTAAACCCCATTTTCGGCAACCGTTATTAATATCAGCCCTACATTCGTAAATCCCAAACCCGGGCCCCAACTTCAAACACCCTAAGCAGCCCTAAACCCAACGTAAAAGACCCTATAAGTTGGGCACTGCCCCCACAACAGTTGGGTAATGTTCATTGTATCGATATTGTGGGACCTTAATAGTAGCCTTGTTATACACTCTTACTGTATGCGGGCAGTACCCAACCTGTAAGCCTCGTATCCTGAAACCTAAACCCCCAACTTAAAAGCCCTAAACCATAAATCCTAAACCCTAAAACCATAGAGCCCTATAGTACACCTATAGTACCCCTTATAGATCCCTTTAAAGAAGACCCTATATGCCCCTTAAAAGCCCTCGAGGCGGTATCGACACATCGCCACCCACCCGGCCTGCGGCGGCGAAGTCTGTCAGCCGAAGCCCACTGAGGCCCCGGGGCCCCTCGGGGCCCCTGGGCCGGGTTGAAGGGAGTATAGTACAGTATAGTACAGTATAGTATATAGATGTAGAAAAGCATATAGTATATGGTATATGGTATATAGTATATAGTATAGTATATAGTATTATAGGAAAAGGCTGTATAGGATTTTCACAAATGTTGGGGGTAGCGCTAATTTTTCGGACCCCTGGAATTGGGGGTAGTGCTATTTTTTGTGGTTCCGATCTAGGGCTTTTAAAGGATTTTTGGGGCAGTGCTAATTTGAAAGCGCAGTGCTAATTTCTCGGGCCCCTAACTTTGGGTTGTTGGGGGGGAGTGCCAATTCTTCGGGCCGCTACGGCCCCCTTTAGGGCTTTTAAGGATCTTGGGCGTGCTGCAGGGTTTCAGGTGGAGCGTTCACCCAGCTTTGCAACCTTCCTTTACGATTTGGGCATGCGTTCGATTAAAGCCGTTAGATACAGGCTTTATAGATGAAGATGATGGGGAGCTTCAAGCCTGAAGTTCAGTGAGCCTGCTCATGCCAAGCAGAGATGTTTCAGCATAAGATGTGAAGGGGCGTAAGGTCTGCTTTTCTCTTACACGGCTTCTATTACGGGGGTTGTGTAAGGCTCGGGTGCTGAATCTCAATAGCGGACTTCCTACACGACAGACGTTTATTCCTATTCCCAGCTCCTGTCTTAATCATGCAAGCCCCGCCCGCTAGACCCTGCGAAGCCCACCCACTTAACTTCGCCAGAGAAACATATGGAGCCCCAAGCCACAACTACTTTAACAACCTCTCTGGGCTTGCAAAGGAAGTGGGTGACTGCGGCGACGTGTGCCGCAACAAAAGAACTTGCGTTTGGCAGGCCGGGGCCCTTCCCGGAGGCTTCAAAAAGGGGGTATTGCTTGGGTCTACAGGGTCTGAAACTGCCTTTACAAAGGTGCAGAATGCAGGGTTTGGGGGTTTGTTGCTTGGGGCTTGGCGAATTACGACGTTAGGACCTTCACTTGATGGGCCTCCTTGGGTTGAAAGGGGCAAGAGAAACAAGACTTTCGACTGGGGGGGGGGCCTACAGTAAGTGCCATGATGTTCGGGAATTGGGCCCTGGCGCGACCAGGTATTCAAACGGTGGCGTTGGGTGTTGTGGATGTCTGGGGTGTTGGGCGAGTTTGATTTTGACGTCTTGTTTAAGCAAGGTTCTATTGAGGGCTTTTGAGCTCGGAATGTTGCCAACTCCGTCATGATCCTCCACTGGAACACCCCAAGTATCCATCCTCCGGAATAGTTGGAGTTGCTTGCGTTATAGAGTGCTTTGGGGGGATTAGATAGGGACTTGCAAGTTTGCCAGCTGCCAGCCAAGACCGCTTTGATTGAGGAATATAAAGCATATCCAATCCCTCTATACTTTAAGCTATGGTCCATGCAATATGAGAGTAATGAGACTAGCGGATCTGTGTTGATACGTTTCCGATGGGTTTGGAAGTTAAAGTTTCTCGGGTTTCGGGTTTAGTTGCTTTGAGGCTGGCACTGTACACATACTTGGAGCCCCTGGGAAAGTGCATGTTTTCGTACTTTCGGGACCAAAAGACCCTTCAGAATGGGACCCCATACCCTGAAACTATGAATCCCTATGGTAGCATTTGAAGCTGAAGCTTCTAGGCTTCCCAGAGAGCCCAATACCCCTTAATTAAGGAATATAGCTCAAATCATAATATGAAGCCCTAAAGAATTTAAGCCATATATTCCTTAATTAAGGGGTAAATTGGGCTTTCGGGGTTCCAGTCGTCCTTAGAAGTGTCTTCTGTAGCTCTGCAGGAGTGGGGCGACTTCGGGCCTTGCTCTGTTACGTGCGGCAAAGGCTCCAGGGGTTTTTGGGGCCTCTGAAGGTTCAGGGTTTCGAACTTTCGGGGGACAGGGTTTCGTTTTTGAGTTTGAAGGGGGCGGTATCGGATGTCCGGAGTAGGCTGTACGGATATCTTGATAGAACATAGGGAGGAGACGTCTGTTTGGGTTTCGATGCCAGTGATGGGGGGTTAGGTTTCAGGTGTTGGCTTCACGGTGTTGGTGGTCTAGGGGTTTAGGGGTTCAGGGTTTAGGGGTTTAGGGTTTAGGGTTATGGTTTCCGCTGTTCGTGAT